ATCCAAGGGGACGTTCAGGGGGTGCTGTTGACGGCAAATATACATTTGAATTCGGTGAAGAGAACGCCCTTGCACCTTCGTTAGCGGCGCGCGCATTTTCTTGCATGAACAAGCTCACGGCGGACACTGGTGGCAAGACGGCGCCGAGGGCGGGCATTCAGCGCGCAGTTACCCGATTCGGAGAGTGCGTCGCGCACCTCAGGGCCCCGCCGAACAAGCACTTCAAAGCAAGGTGGGCAAGTGGTGTACCCTGGGAAGTCATGAGACCAGTCAAGAGTGGGTCGTAAGCACTCCTGGCGGGCGCAATCAAGTCTCTCGAGCGAAGGCGCAAAGGAAGTGACGATGATAAGTGGGATCCATGTGAGGTTACCAAGATGATGGGGTTAGCCTGACAACCGGGCCCAAGCGCGCATGGGGCGGAGGTTAATGCAAGAGTAGCATCGCCGATGGCGGAGCCCAGTAAAGGTCTAGCCGCAGATGCCTGGCCGCTGGTGGCTCGAGGAATCGCGGCGAAGTCGGCGCGCGCGGCCATGGGGCGCGCGCGGGGATTTCGCGGGCGCAATGCTGGGGCCAGAGGAGACGCTGCCCACAGACTTCGCAGAGCGGAATGTCGAGAGTTGATTTTCGAGCAGCTTGAAAGACAGGACAACCCGAACATCCCAGAAAGCTTAGCAGCCTCTCAGATGAGGATGGAGTCCGGCAGTTTCTGGCAAAACAAGAACTGGGAGGACCCGCCGATAGACAACTGCGCGTTTTACGACGGGTTAGCTATTCGACAACACCGTGAGTTTCAGAACCCATGTGCGCTCGCCTAGAGACATGAGCGGGGCCCACCAAAAAAGGTAAACAATGAAAGACGAACGCGCGCAGTCTATCCGGGCGCTGGCGACGCGGGGGACACGGCCGACGATGCCTTGCCGAGGCCAGCGGCGGCGAAGACACAGGCGAGGGAGCCCAGCGGCGACGAGGGGCCCAGAGAAGTCCGAAAGGCAGAAGATGAGGACGAAGAGGTACTGGACAAGGGCCGCGAGGCCGAGCTCGATGCGGGGCTGGGCGACGAGAACATTGATCACCATCAGCCCGAACACGAAGACGACGAGCAGGATAATATGAGCGCGGATGAAGTACGCGCCGGGTTAACAATGATGGGTCTTGACACCGAAGTTGTGGAGTGGTTTTTCTGTGCCCATGTGGACGTCAGCAAACAGGTCGATGACATTCGGATGATGTTGAGGTTATGCGGCCAAGGCTGGCACTATGTGCAGTCGCGCATTTCAGATGCCCTCTCGCCAGTCTGGGCTGCAGGCGTGGCGAGGAACATGGGAAGTATACGCGGGTTAGCTGCGGACCTAACTAACCGCTCGCGACGAATCTGGACCCCCTCTCGCGGCGCTGCAACGGCGAGGCGACGCGAGCGAAAGCGAAGCACATCGCCCTTAGCAGAGCAGCCTTTCGGTTAGTCGCTCGCCCTATGCGCGCAGCCAGCGGCGGGCCGCAGGCATTCAAGTTGAAACGCCTGGGGCCAGTAAAGATGAGGGACATGTTAGATCGCGGGTCAAGCGCCTCGCGTTCGCTGTGAAACTGCGTGAAATTCACAGAAGTGGCTGGTTGCGCGATCTTTGGGCACCCCGCGGGGGCCTCAAGCTGGGCCGCGCCGCCAGGGCAGTGAATGTTGCGGCGCGAAGGCGCGCGGGCGCGCGATTGCGCTGCCACGATTCAATCAAAGCATGCGGTTAAAAAGAGAGGAGGTGCTCGCGAAGAGCCCCGCGCCGCCCACGACGAACTGCCCATTGCGTCGGACGGGCCGGCAGCGGGGCGCGCCGGGGCCAGCGTCGACATATCGAGTTAACCAAGGGCAGGACGAGGAGGTCAGAGGTATATCCGGACCGAGTCTTTCGGTTTGTTCTCGAGGGCCTAGTTTACTAGGGGACGGTCGATGATCGACGGGGTTGTTCCTCCGGAACTTGCGGCCCCGAGGTCGCCTGGAGCGAGCTGCGCGAAAATTGTAATTAATGCTATCGGGCGCGAACCGAACGAGTGGAAATGGGCCTGCGTTAACCTGGATTAGAAGAATCACGGCGCGTCTCGTTTCGTGGCCCCGCGCATGTCAGCGCCAACATGGAGTTCGTGCCTACGCGGGGCCCCGGGACTTGGACGCCGGCCGCGCGCGCGGGGAGAGGGGGGCTCGCGCGCTTCGAAGAACATGGGCGGGGGAGACAGATCGCGGGATGCGCGGGCAACGGAGCCGCTAAACTCACCGACCGCGTTGCCCAGGACCAGCCTCGCCGGTGGATCCGCGGGCCGCGCCGACGCCGGGCGCGGCGGGGCATTCTCCGGGGCGCGCGAGGCATGCGGGAGCGCGGGCGAGGCATGGCTGGTTGCTGAAGATGACGCTCGTGAAGTCCAACGCGAACATGGAAAAGGCAGGCGTCGAATGATGCGTCTGGAAGCGCGCTGTCTCCAGAGTTCACGTCGGAGGCTCGGGGGGGGGGGTGAGTCAGCGTAGGCAGCGCGAGGTCTACGACAGAGCGTAGGGGGTTGGAATGCTGGGCGGTTGCTGGTGAAGCCCCCACTGGCACGAGGTGGATTGACATCGGCGAAGGGGTCGAGGCCAATCCGGAATGCCGATCCCAGCTCGCGATCCCGCAAGTCACGTACAAATCCAACGAGAAGAAGGCATTTGCAGCCGCTTCTCCATTGGGCACCTGCAAGACGCTGCTTTCCATCCGCTGCCGAAGGGATAGGGCATGCTCGCGGGGGGGCGCGAGGGTGGGCTGAAGTTGGCTTCTATAGACGCTAGACGGGCGCACTTTTACGTCGAGGCCGAAGGAAACGCTGTCATCAGGTTGCCCGAGGACGATTGCGCAGCGGGCGGGCGTGAAGAACTCTCGAAGCCGCGATGTGCGGCATTTGGGGTGCAGCCATGAATTGGGGAGGTGTTTGCATGGATTTTGCGCGTGCTGTTGGTTGTTTGGGACGTGGTAAACGCATTGCGTTTTCAGTCGTCAGACAAGATGGATCTGGTGAGCTGCACAGGGGGCGAAGTTACTTGGCATTTGCGTTGGTCTTGATTGGCTCGACGGACAGGAGACTTTGAATCTTGAAGTTAATCCGGGGCAGGTTAGGGCTAGGACCAACATACCTGAAGCCAATCAGGGCTCTAATATGAACTTACGCATGGAGCCGGCATGGTTCATGGCGCGAGGCGGACCAGAGGTTTGCTGAGATATTCGTGAGAGAGTCAGGCCTGGAGCATTGCTAAAACCAGATGCGAAATGCCAGGTGGACAAAGCAGCCGTGCGACGAAGAAAATGAAAAGCCCCTGCCAAGTCATGAAGTTGACGCGTCTGGCCAGGGGAAACAATCTAGCACTCGACAGCTCGGATATACAGTTCTCAGTCAAGGAGCTCGCGCGCTCTATACAGGCCCCAATCCGAGGAGCAAGAACATCTCTGTGCGAGTGGGCAATTACTTTCAGAACCACCACAGGCGTGGGCGTCCGCATTAGTATCAAGAGTCTCCTGCGGAGTTCACCGCGCGGGCTGACGCCGACCATGCCGGTTGCCCAAAAAACACGTGTGTCGATGGGCGGAGGCGCGGCACCGTGGGGGTCACATTGGACAGAGTCGTGGATTTCGCCCCCGAGAGCAGTGGCGTTATTTGTTGGAGATGCAGAGTGCTGCGGACTGGTGAGAGGCGTCTCAGTAGCGTTAGGGCTGCAAGTAGCTCCCATCGATGCCAGCGCAGCCATTGCCATTGCCATTGCCAGCGGGCGGGGGCCAGGAAATGTCAGACACATCGATCGAGGTTTGCCAGCCTCGGTGGCGGGGGAAAGCGATGCGGTCTTCGGGAGGTAGATCCTCAGGAGAACTCCGCAGATGCGTTGAGGAGATATGTTGACAGCGAGACCACGTCCATGAATATGCGTGGCGCCAAGCAACACTTTGTTTGAGGAAAACAGGTGCTGGCGCCCGCTACGGAGTGTTCGCTTGATCCATTCCCGGGTTATCACCGCGTGCCGTTTTGCCGGACACGTGAGCTCAGGATCAGTTGGGGCCCATGTGCTTCTCTACATGAGTGCACATTACAGCGTACGTTCCATAATTATGCATAGCTTGTTGCCTTGCGAGACCTGGCAGTAGTGTATTGCGCGTTCGGACGCCACTTCGATTTTACGGCCAAGCCATAATCGCCTTTCGCTTGCACCGGTTAAGCGCTTGATTGTTTTAGTTTCGCATTTTGATGTGCTGGGATGGAATCCTGGCTTCATTGCGCAGTGTATTTGTTTAGATCCTTTCCTTTACCCAGCGCTCTTGTTGTTTTTGTTGTTTTTCCCCCGCCGCCGCGTTCGGCCAAAAGTGGCCGTGGGGGGGAACTTGCACACTGCGCCATGACTGGGTGAAAAAAGGGTGCGCTTGTCCAGCTGCTGGGCAGCAGGTCGATGTTAGGATTCCTGGGACATCGACATTGTTCCCGCCGGCGGCGCTTGCTTCGGGTACCATTTTCGCAGGCCTAGAGGTTGACACCAACACCAAGATCGGTGTTGCTCCTCCACCGAGGGAAAAAAGATCCCGATCTCGGTGATGGTGGTAATACTCTGGCTTCCAAGGTGGCCGAAATATTAGCACCAACGCCGAAATCTAGGAGCACCTCCCCCCTGTGGAGGCAGCCCTCTGTCTTGGTGCTGGTGCCCCTTTCCAGGCCTCCCACGTTTGATTCCTGCCGAAACAAAATCAGGGGAACGCAAGACCCGCGTTTGCCAGGACTCGGGTTCGCCATCGTTTTTTGACGACCGCGCCTCGGATTTTGACGAGGGGGAGTTTCGTGGGATGTCTGCAGCGGGAGGCCTCGTCAAAATGCAGGCTCGGCCTCGTCATTGTTGTTGACGACCTCGTCGGGGATTTCCGAGTCCCCTGTACCCAGGATTTTACGTCCCCCTGACAAAGGTCCTGCCAGATCTCCAGGACGACGACGGCCAGGACGACGACGTCCTCCCCGGCGAAGGACCCCACGCTGCGGCCGGCCGCCGCCCAGGCCCTGGAGCACCCGTGGCTCGCCGCCGCCGGCGGGCCCCCGCCGCCGCGCCGCAGCTCGCCTCCGCGGGCGCGCCGCGGCTCCTTCGGCCCGAAGCTGGCGCCGCGTGGCGACGGCGCGGGGGGTCGAGGGGTCTCCTTCTTTTGGCCATCATCATCATCACCGTCATCATCAACATCATCACCATCACCACCATCATCACTATTATCATCATCGTCAACAGCATCATCATCATCATCATCATCATCATCATCATCATCATCATCATCATCATCATCATTATCATCATTATCATCATCATCATCATCATCATCATCATCATCATCATCATCAGCATCATCATCATCATCATCATCATCACTAGCATCACCAGCATCATCACCACCACCATCATCATCATTATCACCATCATCATCATCATCATCATCATCATCATCATCATCATCATCATCATCATCATCATCATCATCGTCACCATCCTCCTCCTCCCCTTCTTTCTCCTTTTCCGTCCCCTTCTCCTCGCCTCCGGATCCGTTTTCCCCCCTCCTCCCTTGTAGTTCTCCTCCCTCCTCCTCCTTCCTCTTTCTTCCTCCCTCCTCTCTCCTCCCTTCTCCCGCGACTGCCGGGGGGGGATCTCAGAGGAGGAAAGCGTAATTATTAGTACCGTTGCATTTGCCACAGGTTCGCTTTTTGGAGCTTCCTGGAACTTGGGAGGCCGTTGTCGCCACAGATGGATTCGTCCAGCAATTCTGGTCAGAAGGCGCCCCAAAAGACGTCCGTGGAATATGGGCTTGGGTAGATTGTGATTCCCCTAAGATGGAGGGTTCCTCTTCCTCCTCCTCCACTTCCTCCTCCTCCTCCTCATCCTCCTGTTCCTCCTCCTCCTCCTCCCTCCTCTTGCTCCTCCTCTTGCTCCTCCTCCTCCTCCTCCTCCTCCTCCTCCCTCCTCCTCCGCCTCCTCCTCCTCCTCCTCCTCCTCCCTGGTCCTTCCTCCCTGCTCACCCTCCCTCGTCCTCCTCCTGCTCCACTTCCTCTTCCTCCTCCTCCGCCTCCTCCTCCTCCTCCTCTTCCCCCTCCTCCCCCCCCATCCTCCTCCTCCTCCTGCTCCTCCGGAGGAGGAGGGAGAGGGCCCGGATGGCGATGCGCGGTGGCCGAGGGCGGATGCGAGGAGAGGCGGCGAGACACCGAGACTCGCGGAGGCGGAGCGAGCGGGAGAGAGGGGAGGCGACGCAGGGAGGGCGGCGGGAGGCCCCGGCAGCCCACCGCCGCCGACCAACCTGGCCGTGTACGCCGACGACGGCCCGGCGGGCGCCTGCCAGGCGCTCGACTGGTCCAGCGACGAGGAGGCCATCGTCGAGGGCAGCTCGCCGTGCGCGCGCGAGGACGCCGAGGACTCTCTCTCCTCGATCCGCCTCCGCCTCCGCCTCCTCCTCCTCCTCCTTCCTCCTCCTCCTCCTTTCTCCTCTTGCTTCCTCCTCTTCCTCCGCCTTTGTTTACGTTAAGCAAGCCTTAGGAAAGAATGTGTGGCGTTATTATTGTTAGTATTCTTCTTCTTCCTCCTACTCCTCCTCTTTCTCCTCCTCCTCCTGCTCCTCTTCCTCCCCTCCTCCTCCTCCTCCTCCTCCTCCTCCTCTTCCTCCTCCTACTCCCCCCCTTCCCTTCATCCGCCTCCTTCCCTGCCTCCCCTCTTCAGGCTCCCCCTCCTCCCCTTCCTCGTCCTTCGCGTCTTCGCCCCTCGCGTCTTTGTTGTCCCCCTGCCCGCGCCCCTTTTTCTTACCCTTCTGAGCTGCTACAGACCCTCGTAAACTTCACCCTCCCCTCCAACCACCCACCCCCTCACGCCCACTCGTCTCCTCCGCTCGTCCCTCTCCCTCCTCGTCCCCCTCGCCCTTCCCCCTCCCCCTGCGCCTCTCCCTCCTCGCCCCCCCCCCTTCAAGTTTTCAGAGGTCCTGGGAGCCTCTCGGGGGCCTCAAGAGGCACCCAGAGGCCCGAAAAGGGCCGTAGAAGCTCTGCAATCCTTTCAATCCTGCTTCAGCTCCTCCTCCTCCTCCTCCTCCTCCTCCTCCTCCTCCTCCTCCTCCTCCTCCTCCCCGCCTCCTCCTCCTCCTCCTCCTCCCCTCCCCATCTCCCCCCCCCCTTCCTCCTCGCCACCCTCCCCCTCCCCCTCCTCCTCCCCTCCCCCTCCTCCTCCGTCTCCTCCTCCCCCCTGCTTCCCCCCCCTTCCTCCCCCTCCCCCGACTCCTCGCTGACCGTGGGCCCGAGGTGGTTCCCGAAGGCGTCGGTGACTCGGCCGACGAGCGCAGCAGCGTGCCTGCCGCAGCGGCGGGCGCGGCCGACCTGCCGCGTCCTTGCGGGCACTTCCAAGCTCGTCGGTGCGAGTGCGGAGCGGGCGGAGGAAGCCAGCGCAGCTGCTGACGGAAGGCGAGACATCTCCCGCCGCGCTGGACGCGGAGGCGAGGGTCATGATGTCGCAGGCCTAGAGGTTGACACCAACACCACGATCGGCGGTGTACCTCCACCAGGGGAAGACGATCCCGATCTCGGCGACGGTGGTGATATTCTGGCTGCCAGGGTGACCGAAATACTACCACCAGCACCGAAATCTAGCATCATCTTTTCCCTGTGGAGGCAACCCCCTGTGTTGGTGTTGGTGCCCATTTCCAGGCCTCCGAAGGGTCATGATGGCCGCCGGCGCGGGCGCTTCGTCTTCGACTTGCAGGGCGCCTTCTTCACCAGAGATCTGGCGTGCTGTGCCGCAAGGGGTGCACGGATGGCTTCATCATCGGCTCTGAGGTTGTTCTTTCGTTTCTTTCCTCAGAGGTTGCGCATTTGCCCGGCCAGCTTTCCAGTCCGCCCACGAGCCTGGCAGGTTGTTGCCTACAGCAAAACAAATCTAAAACAATCAAGAGGGACAACAAAAATACAGACACAATTAATCGTCGATCCCCCAGAAAATATAGGAACATATGGGAAGTGGGGGGGTGGGGGGGAAGACGAAAACCCAGAGAATATGGGAACATATGGGGAATATTTTTATTTGCGTGTATTTATTTGTGTCCTGGGGCCCCTTCAAACAGATCTTCCCTTCTCGCTCCTTGGGTTCGCACCAGAAGCGAGGCCACGGTGCGCCCGTCCGGCACCCTCGAGGAGGGCTCGGGCTCGCACGCGTCCGGTCTTGCCTGACCCCGTGGGACGGCTTCAAGCCCGCCACCCAACAGCACTCCGCGCCGCTCCTGCCCCTCCTCCTCCTCCTCCGGCTCCTCCTCCTCCTCTTCCTCCTACTCCTCCTCCTCCTCCTCCTCCTCCTCCTCCTCCTCCTCCTCCTCCTCCTCCTCCTCCTACTCATCCTCCTCCTCATCCCTCCTCCTCCTCCTCCTCCTCCTCCTCATCCCTCCTGCTCCTCCTGCCGGGGCGGGGGGGGAAGAAGGGAAGCTCCCAGCAGCACTCGGGGCCACCGGGGTCCGGGAAGGGACAGCCCGCAGCGGGCCAAGGTGCCAAACCAAGGTGGGGGCCACTGCCGAAAAAACCCACCCAATCAGACGCAGTGGGCGGGTGCCTTTGGCGTCCGCCCGGCCGAAATGGCGGAGCACCCGCCGGGGAAGGCCAAGGCGAGCCAGGGAAGACCGCCTCAGGGAGGCGCCACTGCTGGCACGGGCGGCCGGCCCGACGAGAGGAGAAGAGCAGGAGAGGAGGGGAAGACGGAAAACGGGGGTCGGTCGTCGTCGCCTGCGGGGGGTCCTCATCCCTCCCCCGGCTCCTCCTCCTCCTCTTCCTTCTCCTCCTCCTCCTCCTCCTCCTCCTCCTCCTCCTCTTCCTCCTTCTGCTTCTTCCTTCTCCTCCTCCTCCTCCTGCTCCTCCTGCTCCTGCTCCTCCTCCCGCTCCTGCTCCTCCCTCTCCTCCTCCTCCACCCGTTGGCGCGAGGACGGCAAGGGCCAGGCCGACGCGACGCCGTCGACGCAGGCGGTGCCCTGGTCCTCGCCCTCCGCCGCGCCCGACTCGGACGGCGGCTCGCCGCCGCCGTGGGCGCCGCAGGCGCGTCGGGCGACGTCCGTGCGTCCGTCGCCGCCGCCGCCGCGAGCGAGCGCCGTCGCCGCGGCGGCGGCGGCGTCGGCGTCGTCGTCGTGGGCGTCGGCGCCGCCGCGAGCGCCGCCGTCGCCGCCGCGGCGACCGTCCGTCCGTCCGTCCGTCCGTCCGTCCGTCCGCCGCGGCGGCGGCGGCGTCGTCTTCGTTGTCGTCGTCGCGGTGGGCGTCGTCGCCGTCGGCGGCGGCGGAGGAGGGTGTACGAGGGAGAGCAGCGAGGGAGGGAGGGAGGGAGGGAGGGAGAAGGAAGAGGAACTTGGGGAGGAGGCAGGGGAGAAGAACTTTGGGGAGGAGGACGACGACGAGGGTCGGAGTCCCTCCTAATACTCGTCGTCGTCCAACTCCTCCTCCTCCGCCGCCCTTTCGTCCTCATCCTGCGGAAGATCATGGTGCACATCGTGGGTTTGAGGCTTCGTTGGGGGGACGGGCATGAGTCCTCGGAGCCCTGGACGTAATCCACTTACCTCTATGCATGATGTATGTGAGAAACGGGCCTCGGGTGCTGAAAACGTATGAAGGCGCGTCGTTGCGTGCCGCTGCACGCCTCGTCCTGGCCATCCACCCCCATGTTCCTTCGCCGCCTCGCACCCCTCCTCTGTCATCCACCTCTTTCTCATCGTCCTTACTCCTGCGCCTCGTCCTCCTCCTTCTCCACCTCCTCGTCCCCTCCACCGTGCGTCTCCACCTCCCCGTCAGCCTCGTCATCATTGCCATCATGGTCGTCGCCCTCCTCATCCTCATGTTCGTCATTGCGTTCCTCCTCCTCGCTCTTCTTGTCGTACTCTTCTTCCTCCTCTCCTCCCCCTCCTCGTCCTCCTCCTGCTCCTCCTCCTCCTCCTCATTCTCCTCCTCATTCTCCTCCTACTTCGCGCTCTTTTACTCCTCGCCCTGTCCATCGCTCTCGTTGTCCTCGTCCTCCAGTCCGCCTCCTCTCTCTTATCCTACTCGAACGGTACCTCTGTCTACTCTGCCTGTTTTCCTTGCCTGTCTCGTGGTTGTCTGACTCAATTCTGGACAGCCGTACCACTGTTACTTATCGTGTTCGCACCTTCCGTTTTATTCCGTGCAGAGAACATCATCTTTGCCATCCGTCCACCGCTTCTTTTCCCAGTTCCCCTCGCCGTTAGCCTCCTTCCTCTATTCCGCGTTCTTCTGGTCCTGCTCCGCCGTCTTTCTCCGTAATCCTTCGCACAGTTCCACTTCATCATACATGCGTTGTCTTACTTGGCTTCGTCCTCCGCCTCCGTCATCCTCCATCCTCCCTCGTACTCCTCGCTGG